GCACAGTGAAAGACTGAAATGCCAAGATCTGACTCAGCAGGGACAATGACAGGACCTGACACTGACCACGGCAATCATGAAGGGGCGCTGAGTCCGGACCATCCATGGATGAAAAGGAGGGAGAAGATACGAAGGGGGGAGGGAGATGCCCAATGAACCCAGTCTCCCAATGTTGCTGCTCTTTCAATGTCAAATCGCAATGTCACTGAACTGGGCAAATCCGGAAAGTCACCAATTCTCAATATCAACTCTCTCTCTCTCTCTCTCTCTCTCTCTCTCTCTCTCTGTGTGTCTGCGTGTGTACACCTGATACCGACCTGCGTACAGGTGTCACCTTGATGCAGCTGTGGACATACCAAAGACGAAGCTGGAGCTATGGCGCCACAGGTAAGTCGCAGGTAAGCCCCTCTGGGCAAAACCGAAAAGTCACCGTCTCAAGGTCAACCCTCCCTCTCTCTCTCTCTCTCACTCGTCCCAGCAGCAGCAGCAGAAGAAGCTCCGGAGGAGGGGAGGAGGAGCAATGAAGGGCAGGATGAGAAAGAAGAAGAAGAACAAGAATCCTCTCTCTCTCTCTCTCTCTCTCTCTCTCTCTCTCTCTCTCTCTCTCTCTCCGTGTGTGTGTGTGTGTGTGTGTGTGTGTGTGTGTGTGTGTGTGNGTGTGTGTGTGTGTGTGTGTGTGTGTGTGTGTGTGTGTGTGTGTGTGTGTGTGTGTGTGCACCTGATACTTACCTGCATAAAGGTGTCACCTTGATGCAGGTGTGGACATACCGAAGACGAAGCTGGAGCTATGGCGCCACAGGTAAGTCACAGGTAAGCCCCTCTGGCCTCTGCCTCATCTATCCCTAGTTCCTGCTCAAGCTCGACTACCTCGCGCAGCGCCCAGCGCTGGAAGACTACTCTCTATCATCCTACTGCGCCCAGCGCGTCGACCACTGAAGACTACAGTACTACCTCAGAACTACCTATTTGTGTGTGTGTGTTGCGTGTTTTAGATTTTCACCACAACAGCCATTGTTCCACCATGATGAGTAGATCCAAAAACAAAGCAGCTTTACCTCTGTTGCAGACAATGGAGCACACTTGAGATGAGCCAATCCAACAATGAAACAGTTCTACCTCTGTAGCAAGCAACACGGGGCAAAATAGATCCATTACGTCCCTTTGTTATGGTCCTGGCCAATTCCGATATACACATCCATCAGATAGTAAAATGCTACAATGCCACCCAATTGCAGAAAGAAATGAATGAACTTGAGAGGAGAGAGAGGATTAGAAGAAGAAGAAGTAAGAAAGAAGAAGAAGATGATGTACACCAGCATAGACAAATGACAAGGCTCTTCTTCTTCGCCCAACAATCTCCTCCTCCTTATCTCCCCCTTCTCTTATTCATACAAGAAATAATAATACAATGTYGAATGGCTGATCCAGAATCAATGTCCCAGTTCAATGGCTGATCCAGAATCAATGTCCCAGTTCAATGGCTGATCCAGAATCAATGTCCCAGTTCCTCTTCTACTGCCGGCATCACTTGAGGTCCACCATAGCCATGGACGCCTCCTCCTCCCTTCCTCATCATACGCCAAGGCTATGGCGGACTACTAGGCCTTGCCCAGATGCCCAATGCAATCAGACTCGCTTACTTTCACACTTCACATGCATGCAAACAGGTCGCACAGCAAACCGGCGACAAGTGCCCACTCAAAGCTCAGAGATATGGTAACCCAGTATGGCGCGTCAGCGCCTGTACAACTCTCTATTTGTCACTGCGCCCTACTCTGCTGTTCACACACACTCAACTTAGGATCACCCTGGATATCCCACACGCGACACACTGTACACACACGCACACATACACTACACCCTTCTTCCAGCTATGGCGGCTATGGCCGCTACTACCTCTACCGCTATGGCTAAGCTCTCCTTCTCGCCCACTTCGTCTTCGGGCATACTGCAGACCACCTCGCACAAGTCGCTGTAGCAGTGCTTCCGCATGGCTTACTCAGGAATGAATGAATGGCTGGGCACTGCCTCTTGATTTATACTTCTGTAACTCGTTGGTCTGCCCCTTTCCCATGCCCGTGGTGCACACAGTCCCATACGGTACTTGCTTGACTGGACTAGGACTGACTAGGACTGGTACCGCTAACTCAGCAAGGGTGGACTCCACCACTTGTCCACTTGCCTCTGCCTAGACGAGAGCCAACTTCGAAAGGCCACTACAAGGCCCGCCCGGAAGTCCGTAGTCCTGGCCTTTCGAAAACTGTAGCAGATACGACCCTGACCTTTCAGGACTGTAGCAGCTACGACTTCTAGAACTCCCTAAGACCTCTATCCGACAGGTCTACAGATCAAACCCCTACAACCTACGGACCCTACGACAGTCTACCAACTATTACGAATACACAGGTCACGGGTTTGACTCTCGGGGTCGACGCAGGTAATGTACACAGGTAAGGTACAGTCTAGGGATCGAGCCCTGGGATCTGCATTCGCTACTGCTAGCAGGTGAATACCGTTTCACTCCCGCCGGCCTAAATTCGAGGTCCTCCGAGAATAACTCAGTCCAAGGCAGGACCTTTACCTTTCTTATCTCTCTCGTAGGCTCTAACTATGTCGGGAGCTGTTTCTAGAAGTTCTGTTCTATTAAACCAGCGGCCGTCCTCTGGTTCCTGATAAGCAAACCGGACCTTATACTGTTTCTGTGGACGACCTCTACCTCCTGTTCTAAACACGTCCTCACCTACAATGCTTTCAATGTCGTACCTTCCGTCCATGTCTGGGGGGATCATGGATCTTCTAGATGGAAACTGTTGACTTGTGACACATGGCAACAACTTTGACGCATGAAACACGGGGTAGGTGTGCAGGAATGCTGGGATCTCTACTGTGTAGGACGGCCCATCCTCTCTGCCCTTAACTGCCCTTAACTGGCCACGGTCCTCTATACGCAGGTGTAATGACCCGCCAAAAACACAGACTGAGAACACTGCTGATTTCTGGGATTTGCCGCTGGATCGAATGCCTTGCTGAAATTCCAGCATTCTGCTGTGATTTCCATGTCTGTGTGTGTGCGTGCCTCCTGGTTTGCATGCCTGTCTGAGTGCTTGTCGGTTGAGTGTGTGTATGACCCGCAAGGGTACTTGTTGGTTGAAGGGCCCCGCAGGGCCGGTACTT